TCTGGTCTACATAGTGAGATGGAAGGAAGGAAGGAAAGAAGGGAGGGAGGTAGGGAGGGAGGGAGGGAGGGAAAAGAAAAACAAAAAAGAGAAGAGAAGAGAAGAGAAGAGAAGAGAAGAGAAGGGAAGAGAAGAGAAGGGAAAGATGTGGGTCCGGCAGGGAGTCACATGAGCTCAGGGCAGCCCACACTGATTACTTTTCTGTGCTGGTTGTGATGCATGGCTTCTTCACATCCATCAGGTCAGACTGCATGTGATTTTAGACTGTTTCCCCCTGGCTGACCTGGAACTTGCTAAGTAATCGGGTGGCCTTGAACTGGCTTCGGTCCTCCAAGCTTCTGTCCCCATGTCTTGTTAACATTAACACATTCCTGTGCTGTAAAGCCTAATATTTGCTGCCTGTTGTGAGTGCTGGACACTAGTGCCCAGACTATCTCCAAGCATGACCACAACAGCAGCCACACCCACCCTGAGATCAAGGGACTCTTGATGCACAGAGGCCGAACCAAGGTACCAGAGTCAGGCTGCCCTGCCTTCACACGACAGTTTCCTTGTACCATCTCATGACTCAGTCAGCCATTCCTACAGAGATGTCTGTCAGTTTGTCTGTCCAGGCTGCTCTAATAGTCCCAGGAAAAGGCCCATGCAAATCCTGGGTCTAGCCAATCAAGGCCCGTATCACCTTGGTGTCAGGGATTGCTTCAGGAAGGGATGCCACACAGGTTGGTCCCCTAAGGGGTGATGGAGGGCAGGATGCAGAGCAATCGACTCAGGGGCGGGGGCTGCGTTCTGTTCTTCCCACCTGAGCCAGTCTGTTACTTCCAGAGTTCAGGCAGCACCCCGTTCGCTGCACACTTCGGGCTCTTGGTTTCCTGCCACGCTAACCAATACTGCTGCTAACATCACCATGATCAGTGTTCACCCTTAACGAAAGGATTTCTGTGCGGCAGTTTTGCAGCTGTGCAGTGACATGGTGCAAGGACTACGGACCGTCGAGGTTCTCCGGACATGACATCACCTGCTTTCAAGGCTGGCAGAATTTGGAACCCTCCCTCCACCTGCTAATACAACATTCGGCACAATTATAAAAAAAAAAAAATCTGATGAGACTTTTTTTTTAAATCAAGCCAGAGTTGTATTTGTTTTTCAAACAGGAAAGTTATGTTAATACAAAACAGATAAAAACAGACAAATATCAGAACACACAACACACAAAGATCAGCGCCAACCCTTCCCGGCTCACCCCCCAAGCTCTCAGGCCTTTCGTACAGCTCCCCAAAGATTAGACAGGGCTGGTGAGTCACAGTATTCAATCAGAAAGGACGGACATGTTTCAGGGGGTCTGTACACAGGTAGTGGGAGCGGGGTGGGGATGAACATTATCAGTCCACCAGCAAACCACAGGAGGGTCTCGGGGACTCCCCGCCAGCATCTGGAGCCCTACCACGTCGGCTAGCTTCTTGTCCTCTTTGAAGGGTTGCATTGTGAAGGATAAAAAGAGCACGCACGCACACCTCCATAAGGCACAGACAGATTGTCGCATGGGCAGTTCCATTAGGGACCCGGGTGAGACACTAACGTACTGAGAAAAGCTGGGAGGCTGTGTGTTCCTGAGCCAAGTCCCCAGCCAGGGCGGGATGGAGGGTGCAGTGCAGTTACTGCTTCCCAGGCTCCGAGGCTGCACAATGCACTCTCAACTCCCGGCTCCTGGAAGTAGCCAGAAGATGTCTCCCCAGAGAGGAATCTGTAGAACCTGAAGGTGGCCATTAACTGGTGGGGTCCTGGCTGTTTGGCAAGAGCTCACTTACCACAAGGGACCCACACATACCTAGTGCGGGTGTGGGAAGCTTTGTGGGCATTGTAACTAAATGGACCCAAGGCAACAGAATGGTCAAGAAAGCCCACGTGTCCTGCCCTGTCTTACCTTGTTGATGGCACTATTCTGGCATCAGGGCTGGCACAACCTCTCTGTTCCCTCCACACAGCCGTTCACATCCTGAGGGTACTCAGCAAATGTGTGTTGAATGACTTTGCGTCCCTATATATGTGATGCTATTCCACTAAACTCCTGACTACATATAACCTGGCCCCTGAACTCATCTGCAGTCTTTTCCTGAGTACCTACTATGTACTAGCACAGGATGCAACTCCAGAGCGAGAGATCAGTTTCTAACCTGGCCTCCGGCCTCTGGTCTGAGCGCTGCTCACAGGTTCTGCCTCTGGCCCTGGTTCTCAACCTCGTGTTCTGATCATGAGCCACGCTGGTGAGCAGATGTTGAACAAGTGAAAACCCGTGTCACAGCCCGTGCAGGACAGCTGCCCAAGAAGCCAACCCCAAGACGGCGCCGAGGATGCAGGAAGTGGAGAAGTCCACTTTGCTTGGGAAACAACGGTTTCCAGGAAGTTCTGGTGGACAGGGATACGGTTGCCACGAATGGGGGGGGGGGTGTCACATGGCCTCCTCCATCATACTCTTGGCTTTTGAGGCTCACGGGGCACAAAATGGTCAGTGAGCCTGGAAAATGGGGGCGGGGTGCTGCCCGAGAGGGGTGTGGCCACAAGATTCCAGAAAGGAGTGGCCTAAGGTCCCTCTCCAGAGCAGCCCCACGTGACACGCCAGTGTAGAAGGGCAGCAAATACATGGGCCTTGGAGGACACTTGTCCCCTCTAGGGTGTAGGCAGCAGAGGGACTGTGACCCAGAACCTTCTACATAGATGCGGAAGCCCAGGCTTTCCAGGTGAGTTGAGGGAAAGACTTGGGCAGTATTGAGCTTCCTGAGAAGTGAGGCAGGCAGGCCAGGACTAGATGCGGGGGCTGGGATTCTGGCCATGCCACTTCCTGTTGTGTGAGTCTTAAGGTCCTCACAGGATCTCACATCTCACCCGCCAAATGAGGACAATACTGTGTTTCCTAGATCCCAAGTACCCATTTCCTGCAGCTGAAGGTCTTGGACCTAGAGGCTGCATCCCAGTATCCTGGGGCTATGGCGGGTGTGGTTTTCACAGTTCCCTGTCAGACGGTATGCCTTCTAATTAGCCAGGTCTCAGATGGGACTCAAGATGGCACCAAAACCTGTATGCAGGGTCCTGCCAAGGGTGTCTCTCTAACTCAGTGTGCAGACATGGAAGAGGGGAGGACAGACACGGACTTCTTGCTCCCCTGCTCCTTGTTGAGATGAGACACACACACTGCCCCTAGGGCCTGGCTCCATCTTTCAGGGCCCTGGCAATTGCCTGGCTTTTAGAACAGAAACAGCCCCTTTGCTCTGTGAGAAACAAGGCAGCTATTTCTAGTGGCTGCAGAGTGGGCTAAACAGGCCTGTGGAGCCTTTCTGCCCTGGTCAGAGGTCACCGGGAGCATACCTGGTCCACCCCTGGCTCTAGGACCTCAGCTGCTCCTTCTCTAGCAGTGGCTGTGGGTGACCCCTGCTGCAACGCTAGGGTCCAGCTGGGAAAGCAAGAGGCAAAGGGGAAGTGGCTCTCCAAGGCCACTGAGACTGGGCAGTTAGAGACTACCATCAGATAGGGCCATGGCTGCCTGGAAACCAAGTCACCACTACTGGTGATGAGGTGGCTCTCTGCCCATGCCCAGCACATGGAGAAGCCAAAAACTTGGCTGATAAACTGAGCTGGGTACCCAATGCGCCTGCTTCTCCAACTCTAACCCAGGCAGACAGGGGTTCCTGTAGCTCTTTAAAACATTTAACTGCATCCAGGTAGGCATGGTGTATGCCCTTAGTTCCAACACTCGGGAGGCAGAGGCAGGCAGATTTCTATGAGTTCGAGGCCAGCCTGATGTACAGAAAGAGTTCCAGGACAGCCAGGAATACATAGAGAAACCCTTTCTCAAAAAACAAAACAAACAAAAAACAAACAAACAAACAAACAAAAAAACCAAAAAAAAAAAAAAACCAACTGCAAAAAGACAAAGAGAAAGGATGGACATGCGCCTTGCAGTCCCTAAGGGAAAAGCCAGAGGTTCTTGCTGGGGACAGGAATGGGGAAGCTGTGATTGAGTCAGACCCAGACCCTCCCAAACAGAGAAGCAACACAGGCCCAGGGCTCCACCACCCAGGCATACTGACTGCCGCTTGGGCCTCTGTCAGGTGGTCCATGGCTCCTGTCAAAGCCTGTCCCATGAGCCTCACTTCTTAAATGCTTCTTTTCCCCCTTCCTCCCTCACGGCAAGAGATGGCCAGAGGAGGAGCTGCGAGGAAAGGCTGCTCCTCACAAGTTGTCTCAAGCTTTCTCAGAACGTGTGGGTCTCCCGAGTGCCCTGGCACCAGGCTTCCAAGTAGGAACCAAGAAACAGAGGGGCCAAGGCACCCTTCTAAAGGTACAGCTCCCAGCAGGCAGATGGAATGCCGGAACTGCGGCGGCGGCTCTTCAGAAGGGAGGGGCACTCCTGGCTAGAACATCAGCAATGGCAAGGTCTGGGAGCCTACAGAAACAGGTCTGGCCCAGTGAGAGGGGACCAGGGCCAGGGCCAGGGTCCTGGGAAATGTCAGCAAACAGGTCCAGGAGTGGGGAGCATCTCAGTCCGCTCTTCACAAGTATCTAACAAGTGTATTAGTTAACACCTTAATAGTCAAGAGGAAAACGAGAGGATCAGGACACGGTCCAGATGGGGAGTCTGGGTCTTCTAGCTTCTGCCGGCTGGTGGCTGGGACATGCCCACAGCTCTCCTTAATTCTACCACAGGACGTATGGAGTCGCCCCAGAGAACAGGAGGGGCATTATAAAACTCCAGGGCGTGTAGGGACGGGGCCGAGAGGCGAGGTGCTTACTTACTGTTCTACTGGCTGGGGATGAAGGAATCCAGGATGCTAGGGCTTTGGGGGCACCTGTCCTCAGTCGCCATGGGAAGGCAGCTCCTAGTCTGCCTAGGCTGAGTAAGCAGTGGAAGCCACCTGTGCTCTTATGTCCCCCGCCCACCTTCCCCCTCAGCAAGAGCTGCTTCTGGGAGCTGTAAACAGTGAGTTATTTTTGCTTTCCCTTAGGAAAGGTGAGCGCCTCTTTCTATACCGTCAAAGGAGTCCTGTGTAGGTCGGTTCAGGCCTCATGTGTTCAAAGCTAGCTCGTTACAGAAAAACAACACCCCCAGAAAGTGGACAACCATCACATTAACATTTGGGCCCGGATTGCACATTCCTTAGTGTTAAATACCCTCCGGGAGACGACAGATCCCCGCACAGTACATCCGCACACACGCCCTCACCCGATCGCTCTCACCCATTCCCTGTGCTGTCTCCCCCCCCACCCCGACACACACACTCAACCCAACCCCGAAGAAGCATTGCACAGACAGAGGGCACCCTTTCCCAGCGGAAGGTCACCAAGAGGCAGGTGATCTGCCAGGCAGTTCCTGAGCTGAATCTTGGGACAGGCTTTTGGGGGCAGCGTGTGTCTGAGCCAGAAGCAATGCTTGCCTGGGCTCTGGCCCCCAGGGCCTCATCACCACACCTGTCCTGCCTTGCTCATCACTGCCGAGTGGCAGATGAGAGATGGCTTCTGACTTTGGGCTCCCTGGTAGCCGTGGTGTCGCCCACCTGACAGGGGCTTCAGAAAGGTGACCTTGCCTTGGCCGAGCCAGCGGCAGCGCTACGGCCTGTAGATCTTGATGACATCCTTGATGGGCCGCCGGCAGATGGGGCAGCAGGCCCGTGCCTGCCTTCGGAGCCGCAGGCCGCAGCTGTGGCAGAGGCACATGTGTCCACACGTATAGATGACCGTGTCCACCTCGCTGTCGAAGCACACTGTACACTCTCCATTCCTGCTGCCCGCTGGTTCAGGTGCTGAGAAGACCGGGGACACTGGGGGGCTCAGCGGGGAGCTAGGGGCAGTCACTGCCAGAAGGAAGACAGGACGTCATTAGTGACATGGCTCTCAGAGGGTCTCTGCTGGGCAACCCCAAGAACGCAGTGTTCCCATGATAGGAACGGGGCACAGTGTGGAGAGTCCCATCTTCGTCTACCTCTTCAGTTTTACACATTTTTGATATTGCTGTCCCCAAAAGCACAAAGGTAAACTGCCCTCATCAGCAGCTTTGGGGCCCCTGAATCTCCAGATTTAAGCTCCCACTGAGCACACCAGAAGGAAGGAGCAGATGCAATGGAAAACACAGCAAACCTGCTCAGCCAGCAGAGGCCAAGGCCACCGGCACAGCCCAATAACCCACGCCATCAGGAATCCCTGCCCCCTGGGAGGTTTACATTTCCTTACCCAGAGACGACTCTGATGCTGAGGAAGACTGGTTGACACCGAAGGTCATGTCTGAATCACTGTCATCCTGGGAGCCGCTGAAGGACCCCGATGGGGTTGTGGTCTCAGGGCTGGACTGCAGGGTACCTGGGAGCCAAGGTGACTCAATTAGGCGTGTGCGATGGCACAGGCTCTGCCAGTCCCTGCTCCTCATCACCCTGCAGCCCTCTCTGCAGCCCTTCTGTCTGGAGAGCAGATTAGAGTGACTGCCCAGGGTTCCATCAATGTGGTGGATGCCTGTGTTTTGCCTGCCCAGCCGCCATCCCTACGTTGGGACATTCACGGGGGTATAGCTATAACTTTACTCCTAATTCAGAAATAGCCTTAGGATACAAGGCCAGGTCCAGAGAACGTTCCATTCTCCAATCTCACTGTGAATCAAGGAAGGGCACACAAGCCAAGCAAGGCCACCCTGCTACTGCCATTAGAACTGTTGGGAAGGAAAGGTTTGTGCCACTGAGAGAGGAGCCAGGACAGGGCTTGTTCTGATGGCGCACATGCATCGTCTAGACCGACCTTCCCTGAATTCATCCGACAGACTCCCGCCCTTCCGAGTTACACTACCCTTTGTTGCTTGGGGCACTTAGAATGGGGTTTTGTCACAGCAACAGGATCCTGAGCTGTGAGTATTTCTCTCTGCCCAGACTTAGTGCTAATTCAGAGAATGTTCCTCCTTGGGAAGAAGAGTGATCCTCCTTTACTCCGCTTGATGGAAAGTCAGCTAACATAGCAGGAACTTGGGCAACTTGTCTCAGGCTGAAATATTACATTAGGTGACTCAACAGAAATAAAAACAAAATAATCCTGGCCAACAGCCACAAGCACCCTTCTGCCCTCCTTCAGACACCCAGGTTGTAGCTATGGCTATGACAATTCTGTGTCAGGTACCAGCTAGCGTGAAGAGCAGTTCACCATTTCATCCCCGTGATAACCCCACCACGGACACAGCACTCTCTTCCACCCAGGATACCGAGAACCCAGGAGAATGATATCTGCCCAGCACTTCAGGGCTGTGTGACCCATGGATGGTGAGTTCTGCCTCCCTGTTGTCCTGTGTGTAGATGGGGATAATCACATGGATTCACAGGTCGCTGGGAGCATCGAGGGCAATGTGGTGGCAGGGCAGTTGTATCTGCTCTGAGCTGGGCTGTGAGGATGGCACTGTGCTCTCTGGCCCCTTCGCTACCCCCTCTGCTGCAGCAAATGTCACACTATGCAGCTGTTCCTGTCGGCCTCTCACATAGTGGGTGGGTATCTTGTCGTTTGCTGACCAGGCAGCACAGGGAAGAATCATCTCAAAACAGAATGGTTCTGCTTTCCCTTCACTTTCTGAACGTGTTGGGGTGTCGCTTCTCTTGCATATGCTAATGATTTCTCCTCCTCTCTCTCACAATTAATAAGCATTATGCATTTTCTTTAAAAAAATCCTAATAAAATCAGAAGGGAAATAAAAACTACACCCATTGGTTAGCCAAGCCCCGACAGCAGCCTGGTGCTAGAGGGAGCTCTTGTGGGGGACCGTGGGTCACTCACCCAGAAGGCGCAGCTGGCCCGCCGCTCCGCCGCGCACTGCGAAGAAGGCCCAGAGCGCCTGCGAGGTGTCCACGCACAGCAGGCGTCCCCGCGGGCGCCCGTTCACCGC